TTATAGACCGAAATGGGTAAATATAAACTCTAAATGTAAATGGTGAGTATTCTAACATGTGAAAGTCAAAGATTTACATAAACAAATTAGCATTTAACAGCCGTTATCATAAGAACCTCCTTTTGAAATGAGACACAGTTACGTGTTTTTTAAGATTTAGAATAAAACTTACATTTCCATTAGAATAGCTTTAGCCAAAATAGAGAAATTTCTTTAGCCAAAATAGAGAAAAATAGGAGATATTTTTTTTTTAAGAGTTTGATTTCGAAAATATGCTGGACTTCATTTTTTTAACAATTATGACACAGGAGAGGATAGGCGACATGCCATGGCTCCTTGGTAAATTAGGGAGTTAAAATATTTTCTCAAGTAGATCTCGCCGCTTAGCAGATATAAAAGTTGGACCTTGTTCTGTGCTGAAGCCAGATCATTGGCTAAGACTGAGTTCGTCTCCCGAAGAAGAATGTATCATCATCGAAGAGTCAAATGTTCTGTAGTCTCTTTGGATTGCCCTTTCACCAACAAACTGCACAAACCGCTAGATTTGGTTATTTTCCTCTTCCTAGTTGCTGAGCTTGTGTTCGATCTGTTATGAGATAGTGACACTTAAATAGCGACTGTCCTGCTTTTTGAACGTACAGCCTTATAAATATAATGTCTGGAGGAGTTTTCCTGTTGAAATATATGTTTTTTTTTGAGGGTCTAAAATTTTTAGATCATTTTTATCACTTGAAATTCTTTTGTGAAATCTCCAGAAGTTTTATTATTATTTCTATTATTTATTTTTTTTTGATAATTTTCAGTAACTATGATATGCATATATAATTATATACTGACTAAAAACAAACCGGCATCTGTCTCTGATAACTAAGGTTAAACGTGAAACCAATATATGATTTATTATTTTTCATAGCAGTTCACGGCAAGAATTATATACCTAATCTATTTATATACGTAAAACTGCAAGAAAACTATTTCCACTTTATGATTTAATTGATATGTCTATTCTTTCCGGAATTTCTAGATAAGAAAGTAGAACTGTTAGGGAACATTTCTGGTAAAATTTTAATGCAGTAAACCTTAGACACATCATATCTTACAAAAGCCACTTTCAACGAGAAACCATCCAGAGATATTTAGGAAAAATTCAAAGTCTGCGAAAGTTTACATTAATGTTATTATAATCATCTCTTTCGAAAGTGTATTGTAGAGGAGAAAATATATATTATATACTGTAAGAAAAAACTAACTTTTTGTTTCGATAACTCGCACAAAGTCTGTCACTTTGTCAAAATGTATAAAGTATTGGCCAAAAGCACAACACTGCTTTTATAGACCGCTTAGCAGATATAAAAGTTGGACCTTGTTCTGTGCTGAAGCCAGATCATTGGCTAAGACTGAGTTCGTCTCCCGAAGAAGAATGTATCATCATCGAAGAGTCAAATGTTCTGTAGTCTCTTTCGATTGCCCTTCCCCCAACAAACTGCACAAACCGCTAGATTTGGTTATTTTCCTCTTCCTAGTTGCTGAGCTTGTGTTCGATCTGTTATGAGATAGTGACACTTAAATAGCGACTGTCCTGCTTTTTGAACGTACAGCCTTATAAATATAATGTCTGGAGGAGTTTTCCTGTTGAAATATATGTTTTTTTTGAGGGTCTAAAATTTTTAGATCATTTTTATCACTTGAAATTCTTTTGTGAAATCTACTTCTACGATAGCGAGATCGAGAACGTAATTTATAAAGGAATCCCTTTCACACGGAGAAGGGCATTCACTAAAATTACAAAATTTCGTATCATTGAGACAACAACACTTCGGTTATTATAATATTATCTTGATAGCGAGATCTGGAATATCTTAAAAAAGGAATCCCTCTCACACGGAGTAGAGGATTCTCTAAAAGTACTAACCTTTGTCTCGCTATGAAAAGAACACTGGGAGAAGAACAGTCCGTGTTTATACAATATTCCTCATCCCTTTGTTTTCTCCTTTCCTCTAATCCCCACATTTCGGGATGTACTTCTATTTATTTCCATCCAATATATATTATATATCTAAAAATAAATATTCTAAAACACTTACATGTAATACGTGTAACTAATTTTTCGATAAGGCTATCGATAACGTATAAAAGAAATCCCTCCCACACGGAGATGGGCATTCTCTAAAAGTACGAAATTTTGTCTCACTGGGAGATAAAAACATTTGGCACCTAAATATATAAATAATATTCTCTTGAGAGCGAGATCTAAAATCCCATAAAAAAAAGAAATCCCTCTCACACAGAGATAGGCATTTTCTAAAAGTACAAAATTTTGTTTCACTAGGGAAACAAAAGTCTGTTACATATTATGACATTCTCTATACCCATTGTCTCCAATTTTCACATTTCAAGATTTCAATTATTTCCATACCTTATTTCATTGCTGGGAGATAAAAAACTTCGGCATTTATAGTACTCTGTTGATTGCGAGATCTAGAACCTCATATAATAGTAAGGTGACCAACTATACTCATTTACTGAGTTTTGTACTCTTTTTCCGCAAACCGTACTCTTTTCAAATCCTGTACTCTGAAAGTACTCATTTGTATAATTTTCTACTCATTTGTATTTCTAAAACATTTTTTAGATTATTTTATTTCAATTTTATTAATTAAATATTTAAAATTATTTTGACCAGACAGTAATGCTGCTGTTGAAAGGGTATTTTCACTGGGGAATGATTATTGGAGTAGTGAGAAGTCGCAACTTTCTGTAAAAACATTATCTGCCGTCTTAACAGTCAAATTTAATATGCAAAATGAAAATTGTTCGGATGTGGCTACATTATTAGACGAACATCTTCATTTAGCAAAAAAAATCTACTCCGAAGAAAAATCTGTTTTTAAAAGAAAATAAAGTTTTTATCGTTTTTCCTTCTTTTTTTTTTCACCTATGAAATACTTGCAAAGTGTACTCTTTTTGAACAAAAAATAGTTGGTCACCTTAATAATAGCCATAATAGGAATCCCTCTAACGAAGAGAAGGGCATTCTCTGTAAGTACGAAACTTTGTCTCACGGAGAGGACAACAGTTCGATATATACATATATGTTATTCTCATTTTTTTTTGTCTAATTCCATTGTTTTCTCCTTGCCTCTAATTTCCATATTTCGAAATTTGCTTTTACTTTAATTATTTCCATCCATTATTTAATTTCCGAAAAATATGTATTATAAGATACTCACCGGTAATACGTGTAATTAATATCTCGATAGGGGATATCAACAATGACTTATAAAAGGAATCCCTCACACGGAGACGGCCATTCTCGAAAAATGCAAAATTTGACTCCCTGGGTGATACAACACTTCGGTATTTATAATATTCTCTTGATAGAGAGATTTAGAACCTTATACAATAGGAATCCCTCTCACGAGGAGAAGGGCATTCTCTATAAATAGGAAACTTTGTCTCACTGGGAGAACAACAGTTCGATATTTATAATATTATTTTGATAGCCAGATGTCTAACCTCATATAATAGGAATCCCTCTCACGAGGAGAAGGGCATTCTCTAAATAGGAAACTTTGTCTCACTGAGAGCACAACAGTTCGATATATACAATATTCTTATTGCTTTCTCCATTTGTCTACTTCCATTGTCTCCTCCTTGCCTCTAATTTCTACATTTAGAGATTTGCTTCCACTTCAATTATTTCTCTCCATTAAATAAATATTATAAGATACTTACTTGTGATACCTGTAATTTATCTCTCGATAGTGGGATATCAATATTGACTTATAAAAGGAATCTCTCTCATATGGCCATCCTCTAAAAGTACGAAATTTGACTCACTCGGAGATGCAACACTGCGAGATATAGAACCTTATATAAATGAATTCCTCTCACAAGAAGAAGGTTCTTTACACGTACGAACTTTGTCTCACTGAGAGTACAACAGTCCGATATATATATGATATTCTTATTGTTTTCTTCATTTATCTAATTCTAATATTCCGTTATTTACGTCCACTTCGTTTTTCTCTAAAAATAAATATTATACTATACTTACATTTCTTCCTTGTGTTCTACCTAGCTGTAGAACACCGTATATTACATAGTAATTGGTAATATCCAAAATGAGTAGAGAATAAACAAAATGGCTTCATCGATCTACGACGAAGAAATCGGAGAGCTGCGATCCGCACTGCATCGTGTACGAAAGACGAATGAATACCACATGAATACCATAGTGAATAGTGAATACATGATGAATACCGACCGCCGCGCCAGGGCCGGCACCGCCACCTAGACTAGCAACTAGCAACGGCAACGGGAAGGAATTTATGGTGGGTTCATACAGCCAAATAAAATAAAATAAGAATAAAATAAAATAAAATAAGAAAGTTGGTTATATGGGATACCGTACATGCGTTCATACAGCCAAATAAAATAACAAATAAAATAAGAAGTCTTTATCTTTTAAATTCTTGTTTTATTTTTATGTGAAAACGGCTTTGCGCACGCTTAATTCTAACCCCCCTGGTTTATGTCACTTCAACACCAAAATAATTAGTTTTTTGCACTACAATAATAAATAATACCAAAAATCAAAGAGTTAAAACCAAAAATCAACCGACAAAATATGAAACGGAATCTAACCCAATATCTAAGTATGTACAGCTGATGAAGTAAACAAAAGTCCGCCCGTAGGCTGAGCTTTTAATAGAAGGCACTGATTGTATTTTTTTTTAAACCCGCGGCGTCGCGTTTGCTTCACGTCAAATATTTATGTCTTGAATCATCTGTTCTAAAATGTTCGGCGCATGTCTTAAATTTTAGAATCTTGCTACAGCAGCGCCATCCTAATTCTTCCCTTTTTTTGACCATTTTTTAATGCACGGAGTTATTTCTCCTTACCTCTACACTCCATAGCGCGAACTGAACGAAGATTTTTGGGGAGATAATTTTTTGATAGTTAGGATTGGGAACACTGCTTGTAGTGCTTGTCAGTTTTGGCAGGTTTTAGTGACGAATTTCTTTGTTTATTTTTTTCATATTTGCTCTGCATATTTGATGTTTGATTTGTTAAGAAAAGTGTTTTCAGTAAAATTTTGGATATTTTCTATCCACAATCAAAAGCAGCTTTTAAAACTATAATATAATCATAAAAGGTATTACCATTTAAAATTTAGTTTGTATATTGAAATATAAAGAATAGTTATTTTCTTTAACAGAAATCGGAAGACACTGAAAACATAATGTTGGCTTCTACTGAAGGTTCAACAAATACTGCAGACCAAACACCCTTTATGAGAAGTGGTACTTCTGTAATGAGAAAAATATCAGGAATATTTAATAAAAGCCAATCTTTCAATAATGAAAGCGATCTTGCTTATGTAGAATTGGGTAGTCTTTCAGAAGAATCAGTTACAAGAACTTTGGGATCATTTGCTGGAGTTTTTGCACCAGTTAGCCTTTCTATGTTTTCAGCTTTAATATTTCTTCGTATGGGTAAGATATATGATACTTAATTTTTATGGCTATATAAATCTACACATAAATAATTTTAGGTTATATTGTGGGAAATGCTGGGTTATTAGTAACACTGGCTCAATTTGCTATAGCGTATATAATCCTAATTTTTACTGTAAGTTCAGTATGTGCAATTTCAACAAATGGAGCTGTTGAAGGAGGTGGGCCATATTGTATCCTTTTCATTAATATAGATAATTTTGTTAGTTTTATTAATTGTTACGTTAAAATGCTATATAAGCAAAGGTCTATACTTTATTAATTATTAATCACAAAAAAAGATTGCTCTTTCATAAAGTAATATATACAACTCTATTTACAACATTTTTATAGCAACTACAAAAAGCATCTAGAAAATGATGTGACATCTGATCCTGTTTGTTTTGACAATACCTATTTGTCTTAGGAGGAAAGGCAGAACTAAATGATGCTTAGCTATCGCCTAATTAATAAAATAGCTGTGGTTCCATTGGTAAGGGGTAGTCGCTTGCAGATCGAGATGTACTGGGTTCAGGTCTAACCAATAGAATTTTTTTTATATTTTTTTACAAGTGTCGAGGTTTAGTGAAAGGTTGGTCTTGGTAATAGCAATCAAAAGTAGGCGTGTTTTAATTGCGTTGGTTAATCTGTGGGGTAAGTTTGTTTGGTAATTATTGGGAAAACTGGAAATTGTCCGATTTTTACCAAAATTGGTATACACCTATTTTGAGGTCGTAGATTACGAATCTGAACTTTTTTCTTGGCGGTCTCTTACCGTTTTTCAGAAAAACGGAAAATAATTTCAACTTTGAATTTTTCTTTATTTCTGTCCTATAAAGTAATAATTTCACTATATTTCCATTATATTATAGTTTATCTAAAAGCCATACTTGATTGAGGATAGAAAAATGTCCAAAATTTTACTGAAAAACGTTTTTCTTAACAAAATAACAAAGAAAATTGAGACCTGATGGAAATTTGACATTTCATATATCCGTCTTACTCTTAGATTAAGAATGAAAATAGATAGAGCAAGTCATTCATAAATTCACAAAATCGAGGTGCCTACATCGTTTTATCGGTGAGTGCCCCCACTACCATAGTTTATGGACAGCGGGGTAAAGAGGAAAGTGGTAGGGGAGTTTACAGCGGAAGAGCATCAAAACAGAATTTAACCTTGAGATTCATTGATGATAGTATCTACAAAGTTACGAGAAAGAGTTTTGATTACATGGTTTCAACTTCTATGCGGAGGGTGTTAATCTTTTTTGGTATAACCCTTGTATATGAATCTTTAAAGTAGCTCAACCTAAGACGTTTATGGATGTAAAGCACCAGATGGCGGAGCATATTTCACAGTTTTTTGCTAGAGAAAAATATTTTTTGTTACTCTGAATTTTGAAGCGGCCAATAAAAACAGAGAAAATAAAAATCGATAATTTTCGGGCTGTGCCAATTGGTTACTAATCGACCAGATACTTTTTGTCTATTAGATATGCTATAAAAGCTGGTAATTATACAATTCGACCATTGTAAATACCCGACAAATTCCGCAAGGCCGACGAGGTCGATGTTTTTCACTGATAAGAAAAAAAAATGTTTGTTTAGATAATTTTCGAGATATTTTTTCTTTCTGAATGCACATTTTAAAGTATTTTATATTCTTTGTCCGCTTGATCTATTATACTGGTCGCACGTATCGAAGTTTTATTTCTTGTAGTTTTAAAATATTTTCTTGTTTCTTTGTAGTTGTAATGTAAAATTAGATTAATTTATTAAGTTTGATTATAATGTTTAGTGTAGACTACCAGAAGAAATTTAGTAGTGTTTTTATATTTTATTTTGAAGTTAAGTAGTAGGTGAAGGGGTAATTTGGTTAATTTTTCTTTATGTTTGATTAATTAATAAGTTTGATAATTTGTTTAGTGTAGAATACAAGAAGTAGTTTGTGTAGTGTTCTTGTAAGAGATTATATTCATTTATTTTGTAGTTGAGTAGAAGGTGAAGGTATTTGGGTATTTTTTTCTTTTTGTTTTTCTTCTAATAATTATTGTAGTAGTTCTTTTAAATATTGTGATAGATACATTATAATCTTCCTTCTACTTTTCTGGTAGTTGAATATACGAAAAAAATCTGATCAAATTTATTTTAAATGAAATTAATCTAGTCTTATTAATTAATCAAATTAAACTAGTCAAATAATATTAATTGCAATCAATTATTAAAAAATATTAATTATTTTGGAAAATAACTTTTGAAATGGAGTATTATTGATAAAATTTAGCCAATTTTTTTTACCCAGTAGCGTATTTCAATATGATCTTATCATTTATCACTGTATAATAACTTTGTTGTGGCAGAAAAATATACCAGTTAGTTTCAAAATATTATTTTTTTTCAAACGTCACAAATGTATTAATTTTTGCGACCTAATTAAAAGCACACAAAGTGTTCTTACATGTATGTCTAAATATATTTTAAATTAACTAAAACAACCCCCCTTTCCCGCACCCCTCTCTTCCATTAGTATTTCTTCCTCCGTCTACCAGAGGCGCCCTTGTATAATAAAATTGAAATGTATTATAAGTTGCTTATCTATTTAATAGTATAAGTCTTTTATCTATGGTATGGTCGATAGCGTCTCCAATTTCGTTCAGTTTGCGCATATCGCCTGTGACGTCATATGCCATACAACAAAATATCCGTATTGTTCAATTACCACTAATAAAAAAAGACCTAAAATAAGGAAGAATTAAACAACCCCTAAAGTTATGTAAAATCATTGAGCTTGACATTTGAAAAGTTATGAGACATTATACACATTTATTATGTGTCATCTGTTTATCACTTGTGACGTGGTGACCAACCTGCGCAATATCATACCTTGTTTTCTTTGTATCATGATAATTACTTATAAGGTATGAGTTTTAAATATTTTTATATTATTTGGAACGTTTGAAATTGTTTAAAAAATTATTTGTGGCGTTTGAAAAAAAATAGCATGTTCTATTCGGAGTAAAAATGACTTGTGCTTCGGCTGTATGTCAAACGTACAGTCTCGCCACGAAAAGTGTCATTTTTACTACTAATAAAACAATATACTAGAAAGTTTTATGGTTTAAACGGGCTTTGTGAGTTAAAACATAATGACATTTTCAGTTTTTATAATTCTTGATCGAAAATAAACGGCGTCAGCGATGGCTATGAAATGAAGATCGCTGTCATTTTGTATGTAAATTTATATGGGAAATGTCGTCGATCGTCATTTCCCAGCCAACTGGACGCCGTTTTTTTTTTCATATGGTACAAAGTTAAAGCAAACTTGACTCTGACCATGTTAACGCTAAGAAATATTTATTTCGTGTAATAAAGATTTTTTAAATGGTGTATTAACTACATAATATTTATTTAAATGTCAAATAATATTATTGAAGCAAGTGCCAATTATTTTTAATTAAGAAAACATTTAATCAAGAATGTATAAACGTTTTGTTTTCAAAAAAAAAATTATCGTAAATTCGTAAAACCTCAATTTAGAATAAAATGATCGAAGAATGAAATAAAATTTTATAGCCCTGGGTCAAATCGAAATAAAGTAAGTGTATGTAACTTTTTTTAGCATTAATGTACCAGTAATTAGCATTAATGTACCAACATATTGAAAATTGTTATTTCTTTGTTAAATACGGTTTAGAATCCTTAAAATAACAGCAAAAATAATCGAAAATCAACAATGAAATAATAGTTTTGTTTGAATTTCTTAATAAGCTGAGCCCTATTATAGTTCGCAAAAATCCGAGCTATATTATTACATTACTTTGAGGGAAATACCGCAAATAATCGATATTTTTGACTCCACCCCTAATCATTCCTTTAAAGCTTCACGATTTGTTCATCAGAGGCAGCACATTTTGTCGAGAGGTTGAGCAACTTTAAGAATATATAAATAAGGGTATAACATAACAACAAAAGATTAACACCCTCCGCATGGCAGTTGTAACCAATGCAATCAAAACCCTTTCGTGCAACTTCGTGCTTATAAATAGTCAGATCTCGTTGGTAAAATAGCAATTATGGGAAGGAGCCGTTCTTCTGGCGACCGCCTTTCGTAATCCCAGAATAAGCGAAAAAACTCGCTAAATTTAGGTTTAGCATTGGCAACGTTGCTTTAAATGCCAGAAACACATAACCCAACAACAATTTTCCTCTTTTATGCATAGAATTGGTTAAAAAAGTAACAGAAAATAGCAAAAACATCATTGTTTATTGAATACCTAACAAAATATGTGCTAGAAAACCTTAAAAATATGAGGAATTAAGAAAAATTTAATGTTGAAATAATTTTTCGTTTTTCTGAAAAACGGTAAGAGACCGCCAGAAAAAAAGATTCGATTCGTAATCTACGAAAGTTCAGATTCGTAATCTACAACCTCAAAAAAGGGTGTATACCAATTTTGGTGAAAATCGGACGATTTCCAGTTTTCCCAATAATTACCGTTTGTTTGTTTAGATTGCACGTGAAATACCTGACCGAGTATCGTATACGGGTTTTTACGCATGCGCACTGGCTGGGATCAGTTCATCACGTCATGGCATTTTCTAGACGCGCGCATGAACTCGACTTAAGATTTGTCAAACTCTTAACAAATTATAGGTTATAATTTTGTGTCAAATTATGTCAAATAGAAATGATATATATTTTGCATTTTGGACTGTGTTATTACGTGTGTTTCGTGTTTTTTTTTAATTAAGTGGAGCAAAATTTGAATGAAAATTAAGTGTTGACCCAGACCATAGTTTACAGTTGTTAATATTCGGTGCCTAGAGACCGCCAGAGATTAAGGCCAGAGGTTGTATTAGCCACAAATAAAGTTTGTATACCAGCTCGTATATGGTACTAAAAACTGGAGTATCTGTAAAATAGCAGCACACGATAGGTAAATAATAAATTTTAGTACTGCAGAGTGATAATGCCAAAAGGTACTGGTTTACAAAAATTAAAGTTAATTACCCAACTTTTAAGGTATAAAAGTCAATAAGTGTTATTATTAATAAAAAAAAATTGTTTTATTTATGTTGTATTTTATTTATTTCTTTGAAATATTATTTTTTTTATTTTTACATAAGTTATATTGATAAATGTAAGAATAAATGCAGGAAGTTGCTTGAGCTTGAAACACGGCTTGAAAGCAGGAAATCTTTTTTATATCTTTTTTTGGTATGTGGTGTTTTTTTTAAATACATCATACTTGTTTTATATTAACACATACTGTAATTGTTTTTAATAAAATAACTCAATATTCACAATATTTTGAAGTAATCACTTGTCACTCAAAGTTTAAATATATTAATTTTCTATTATGCGTTGCAATTGTACCCAACTTAATTCTTTGTAAAATAAAATAAAACTACTTTGAAAATAAAATGACAGACACATCTATCACTGTCAAGGATCTTGTCATTGGACAGATTATTTGTGTGCATTTAAATATTGGAAATACTTGACACTCTTTCCCGCGTGGGTGGCTTTATTACTTGACTGTATGGTTAGAGAAACCTATGTTTTAATACTTGACAGGAAAAGATCACAATCCAGGCTTTATAAAGGTGTGGTTATCTGTGCAGTGTTCTTCTCTGTTGGTTAAAATATTGTTTGTTTTAGGCCAGAGCGCACCTAAATATATTTTACTCTTAAAAGAGAGAACTCAATAAGAGAGAGATAACTCAATAATACATTACAAAAATTGGTCTTTATATAAAAATATTTCCTTAATTTATTTCAGTTATGATAAGTAGAACGTTAGGACCTGAATTTGGTGGTTCCATAGGGAGTCTTTTTTTCTTTGCTAATATTGTTAGCAGCGCGCTTTGTATTTCTGGATGCGTTGAAGGATTGGTAGAAAATTTTGGACCTTCAGGTAAATAAAATTAGATCGATACTTTATATAGATAATAATAAAAGAGAACAAAATTATCGGCCAAAACCCACAGAAAGATTAGTCACGACGAAAACATGACTAAAAAAACTATATGACTACCCAAAAGGTAAATGCTGCCTCGTGCCTCGTTTGCTTTTTTAAAGCCGAAAGGCAGAAACACTAAGTGTCTACAGGTAGTAATATCTTAGTCGTGTTTTCGTGACTAATCTTTCTCTCGGTTTTGCCTGATAATTTTGTTCTTCGTTATTACAGTAGTATTAAGCTATGGCAGAGATTTATTTACAAACAAAAAAAATCTGAAATCTGGAAAATCGTAGCCTAATACAGGTGTCGCCCCTGTACGGATCGTTCACTCAAACATGTTCAGCATTAGAGATGTTGAAAAAGTAACTACTCGTTACTCATCGATTCCCGAAGTAACGAGTACCGAATTTAAAACCATATCGTTACTTTGATTACTATTATTTCTTATAGTATTTAGCATTTATCATGGGTCGTACTTATACGTAATATTGTTACAGATTCTGTGGGTCCACTAATTTAAACTCACGATAAAATACTTAACGAATTTATGTTTTCTCACTCTGTACACACAATTTATACTGATTATAATACACAATTTATGCAACTACTATTACTCTAACTTTTCTGGCACCTTCGCCAATTAATTCATAATTTAAAACGCGGTATTATCAAACTTCAAACTGGTCCAACTGCCGAGCGCGGGCTTTTATATACCCCTACCAACTGTTTCTAGAACCTTCTATAGAATTCTGTAATACTTCTTTTACTTTCTGGTGAATTCGCCAGATTTCTTGACACGTTGCGATTTAGTTGCTCGCTTCTCCGACAGATGGCGCCACATACACCTTGACAATATGTATAGTGTTGCATTGTAAAAGTATTATCAAATGCGAATTCTATAAAAACACAATGGTCGTATAATAGTATCGAGAGTATTTGGCAAATACCCCCTAATTTCAACCCCTTAGCGGCCGAATTTCCAAAAATTCCTCCTTAGTGCTCACATACATCACTTAAGGAACGCATTTGCCAAATTTCGTGTTTCTATGTTGAGCAGTTTCGGCTGTGCATTATTATCATTATTACTATTATATTTTCATAGAACTCGCATTTAATTGCATTTCGATACAATACTATACATATTAGGTATACGTATAAGTACGATACAATAAACTAAATGATAAATACTATAAACAGTTAAACTTCCACCCTATTTTCAGTTGTTTCACCCACCTAATTTCCGAAAATTGCTTCTTAGAATTTAATTACGTCGCTTAAGAGATCTCTGTGTAAAATTTCATAGTTCAGGACCGATTTAAAAAAAATTATACCTACAATATTAACCCCCTAATTTCATTCCCTCAGAGGGCGATTTTTGTAAAATCGCCCCTTAGTGCTTAATTACGCCACCCAAGGGGCGTCCGTGCAAAATTTCATAGTCACACAGATTTTAATTTTTTTATACCTACAATATTAACCCCCTAATTTCAACCCCTTGGCGACCGAATTTCCAAAAATCCCTTCTTAGTGCTCACATACATCACTTAAGGAACGCATTTGCCAAATTTCGTGTTTCTATGTCCAGCAGTTCCGGCTGTGCATTATTATTATTATTTTTTTTTGGTTTTACTTTCTCAGCTAATGCTGGTTCAATTTACTATGTGGCAGAAAAAAACTTCATTTTATTCTGCTACACATTTAAAAATTTTCTTTTGTACAGGTTTGGAGGAGTACACTTTTTTGCATCAGACTGCTGAGTTCTTTACACAATCCGAGCCGGTCTATTCCTTAAGTTAGTAGTCATAACCCCGCATGCCGATATTACAATTGGTTTGGTTTGGTCGACTGTGCTCAATTGCCATACATGCTTCAGCTCGACAGCCAAATTCTCATATTTTGGTATTTTTTCTACTTCAGTTTTGTGTAAATTGTGGGTTAAAGGGCATGCTATGTCTATTATTGGCGCCTTTTTGTTGTCCTTATCTATTAGTACCAAGTCTGGTCTGTTGTCGATGGTTCTGTCTGTTATGATCGGGCTATCCCAGTAAAGCACTAAATGGGCTGATTCCAAGACCGGTTCAGGTGAGTAGCGATAATAAGGAGGTGGATGTTCTATAAGGCGGTATTTTAGAGCAATTTCTTTGTGTATGATTTTAGCGATCTGGTTGTGCCTTCCGAGGTAAGCTGTGTCCGATAAACATTGACATCCGGCTATGACATGGTCAATTGTTTCATTAGCTGCTCCACATTTTCGACAGGTATCCTGGACATTTTTATTTAATATATGTTTTTCATAGTTTCTAGTGCGTATGACACGGTCTTGTATGGATATTACAAATCCTTCAGTTTCAGGGTGCAGAACTCCTTTTCTCAGCCAAGTAAGGGAGTTTTCTTTTTCGATATTTGGATCGTCGAGAGAGGCAGGAAACTTGCCATGAAGGATTTTTTGTCGCCAAGAATGTTGGGCATCAACCATTGTCGTTTCACCATTGGATATCACCATTATCTGTGTTTAAATTCAGTGGGGTATATTTGTTATCCTCCCTAACAATTAATTTATGAAGGTTGCTATTGGACTTTATAAAATATGCTTTCATACCCTGTTCCTGTGATTTATACAATGACTTAATATTCAGCAGACATCTACCTCCTTCTTTTCTTTTTAAGTACCGTAAAATGGGGTTACTTGGGACAAATTCACTATAATTTTTTTAGTCATGTGGTAATTTATAAATGTTTTTGTGAAGACAAAGCAACAATTTATGTGTAGAAATTTTTCTTCATATGTATTTAACCTATAAAGCATCATAAATGGCTCCTAATGTAAGAATATTTATAAAAAAAAACTAACATATTTACTGTCCCAAGTTTCCCCGCATTGGGGTTAAATGGGACTGTAACGGTTTATACCGAAAATGCATGTTAAACTACTCACGGGTTACTTGGGACAGCAGAAAAAATAAAAAATACACTAACACACATCATGAGTTGAAATGTTTTTCTCAGATAATTATTTAGAGGAAAGAAAAACTCGATTTAGCGTAAACTTATTAGAAATATTTATTTATTCATTAGAAAATGTAAAATTTCTTCAATAAACATAATAAGAACAAAGTCACGATTTGAATCGTAAGGACAAAAAGGAACTAAAAAAAACATTTTGTAAACACAAGAAAAATAGATCGGTTGCATTCTCTTTATTGTAGCCAACCAGTATTTTTTAATCCATTAAATGTATGGCGGCCTCTAGTAATGCGCACGTCCTCTGCTTTTAACATTCTCACAATTTTATCCTCTGTGATATCATACTCATGAGCTAAATCTGGGAACACAAAATGTTTGTTGTTTTTCGTAGATTTTCTCATAAAACTGCCTCTGATAAGTTCGTCTTCTTCCTCTTTTTTCAAAACTGTAGGTCTTCCTTATCTTTCTAAATTCTGATTCTTACACTGCTCTGTAAGTTGATTTGGTTGCCTTCCATTTGTCTGCCACTGTTCTATAGGACATTACAGATTGTATGTCTTCTATGGCACTTTCCATATTTTTTTTCTTCAAAGTCGTGAAATTTTTAGAGCCTACTTTGCGAATATATTTTCTTGGCATGTGGAGCACTGAAAACAAAATCGATTAAATAACATGGGGTAACTTGGGCCAACGGCTAACTTGGGACAATTGTTCACCCAAGTTACCCCAAACCATGACTTTTTTTAAAAAATATATTTTACAATCTAAAAAATTATCTAGACGCGAGCAATGACATTGGTATTATTTATGAAACATAAAAAACTAACTAAGAAATGTAACTGGACTTACCTGTTTACTTTTTGACTGCCTCTTACAGATAAAGTTTTCGACCACTTATTTTTAGCTTGCTTCCCGCCACCCATTTATTTTTTTTATATAAGTAAAATACTATCACTTTATATAGAATTCTTTTAATTAAATCATATCAACACATTGTTCTTTAACGAACCAAAACATTAAATTAAGGTTTTGTTTATATTTGCGTTGTTCCCGCCAGTTAAATTAGAAAAACCGAAGTTGCGTCCCAAGTAACCCCGACGTCCCAAGTAACCCCATTTTACGGTATAATATTTCCAACGCAGATTGCGGATGGTGGCATCTAAATTTTTTGAGCAGCCAGCGTGTAAGTCGGTCCAGTTCATCCAGATCTGCATCTGAGTATTTCAATATCCCAAAGGAATACGTGAGTGTTGATACAGCCCAAGAATTAACAGCTGATTTAAGATTTCGCAAATTAAGGTACGTGTTTAAAAGCTTGGTTAGTCGGCTCCTGTATTTTTCCTTAAATTCTTTCTTAAGCGTTATTATTATTATTATTTAACATATTCCACGGAGATGGCGGTTGAAGTTCTCCGGTAATTATTGACTAAGTCCAGTTCCCGGCCTGGGATCAAAGTAACTTAGTTCAACACTTTGCGAAGGATGTGAGCCGTGCTGAGCAACGTGATCTTTTGGGCTTCTTGGATAGATTATTTTCCTGGGATGCGGTTCAGATGTAGTTCTGCTCCTTTGGATATGGTTCCCCAGGCGCTCACAATAACCGGTATAGTACAAGACTTTGCATTCCAGATTCTGCTGATTTCTATTTCTAGGTTCTTATATTTCATTATCTTCTCGTTTTCTTTTAATTGTACGTTGGAATCGTCTGGTACTGATATATCTATAAGTTGGCAAGTTTTATTCTTTTTGTCATGTACCACGATGCCTGGTCTATTCGCATTTATTTGTCGTTCTGTTATGATGGGCAAATCCCACATTATTGTTACTTCATTGTTCTTATTATTGTTACTTCATCGTTTCAGGAATATGCTCGTAGTATTTCGCACAAACTTCCATTCCGAATGCTTTGCAGATGTTCCAATGTATATAGCCAGCTACTTTATTGTGCCTATGAGTGTACTCAGTAGCGGGCAAGCTTGTACAGCCAGCGATGATATGACTAATGTGTTCCTCTGACCCTTGACATAATCTACATCTACTATCCACATTTTGTTTGAAGATCTTTTTTTGTCTATATCTTGTACTTAGGGCTTGATTTTGTGCAGCCATTATTAGGCTTTCTGTCTCTCCTTTCAATCCTGCACCATTTAACCATTGTATGCTACTCTTTTTTTTTACTCTAGTTCTTATCTAAATGTCTCATAAATTGTCCGTATAGTATTTTTTCTTTTAATCTTTCTATTCTTCGCTTTTCTATTTCTTCTCTTATCTTCAGTTTCATGTTCCTGAATGTTTCTTCATTTGTGTCATATTTCATTCTGATTCGTACTGCTTCCTTCGTAATTGAGTATTTTGCTCTTGCTTCGTCTTGCTTCTTGGTAATCTTTACTAATTCATCTTTTTCCTCTTTTATGTACTCACTCAGTCCCATGATTGTTTCAAATGCTTCCTCAAGCTCTAGCAAACCTCTTCCTCCATCTAGTCTTCTCATATAGATCCTAGCAACATTGTCTTTTGGGTGGTGAATTTTCCCTGAGGTAAGTAGTTTTCTAGTCTTTCTGTCAATTTTATTTATCTCTTCTTTTGGCCTTCCACTAAACCAAAGCTGTAAGTCATTACTGGAATTGCTATTGTGTTTATAGCTTTTATTTTGTTTTTTGCACATAATTCTGTGTCAAGCACTTTTCTGATTCTCCTATAATATTCTTTCCTTAATTTATTCTTCATACTCTTGTTGTCGATTCCGTCTCCTTCTTCTAAGCCTAAGTATTTGTAAGTTTCTTCTTGGTCCAAATTTCTTATTTCAATTTCTATGTTCGATTCTACTTTTATGTTCTTCAATATTTCTGTTGTTTTTGGATTCTTTTTGATCGACTATATCTTCGGTTACTGCGAGGGACGTTTCTTCTTTATTTTCAGTTTGGTTTGTGTCAGTCATATCATATAATTCTATGTCGTTGGTTTGAAGACTTTGCTGGTCTTCCAAGGTTGCTCGATTAATTCTTATGTTTTTTTTCACTTCCTGTTCAATTGTTTGTAACTCAATACTGGTTAACTTTTTATTTTTAACTATGAAGCGCCGCGGCGTCGTTGGTTAGCCAGTGTTGGCATTCATTTTTGGAAAAGCGGTCGGATTTCTTTCTCTCCATATCTGAAATGTCTTCTGTGTCACGTTTCGGGTTGTTCTATTCTGAATAGCGTATTGATAGCATCGTATCACTTCCTTATAATCTTCGATCCTCCATTTTTGTCGAGAATTTGTTGATTCATCAGAGGATGGTGTTGTGTTAGACAGGCCAGGTTGTGACAGAGTCAGTGTTTAGTTGCCGTCTACACTTGAAGATTGATTGCTGTTTTGGTTTGGTTTGGGTATTGAACGTTTTGGTGTTGAACAAACGTTTTGAGTGTTTGGAGGGTTTCGCATGATGACGACCTGGGCTACCTCGCTGTTAAGATTATCCGAGGCTCGGTTAATTATTTTCTCCATCATAATGGGTATTTGGTTGTGAATAAGCTTCACGAGCAACGTGCATCAGCTGCTCACTCTCTCTGAGATCAGACGCTGACCAGGGAGCCGCCCATTCTGGGTGCAGACGCTTCTGAATTTGGTTCCTTTTTTGTTTAAGGTGGTGGGAAAACCTCCTACATCTTTTTCCTTCCCAGTGTGTCTCCAAGATGTCAGGAGGAGGATTGCATTTCGGAAAATAGAAGGAAGTAAGGGATATAATGGTTAGGACAGGTAAGTATTGCGGATAAGTACTAGGACAGGGTCTAGGACAGCGGAAAGCTGGCGTTACTGGCTGTACCGATTCCGCATAGGATAGCGGTAGGTGTACTGCTGGCTGCATTACCCTTGCCGGCCAGACATTATTATTATTATTGTTGTTGTGTTGTAAATAATGATGTTTTATATTATTATTGAAGAAAAGCTACATTAAGCCCGGTTGACACAGTTCAAATTTACTTGAATCAAGTCAACCGGATGCTGCTATACAGCACGGACGCTCCTTGGGTGACGTAATTAAGCTTAAGGGGCGATTTTTGTAAAATCGTCCTCTGAGGGAATGCAATTAGGGAGTTAATATTGTAGGTATAAAAGTTTTTAAATCTGTCCTATAATGCACAGCCGAAACTGCTTGACATAGAAACACGAAATTTGGCAAATGTGTTCTTTAAGTGATGTAAGTGAGCACTAAGAAGGGATTTTTGGAAATTTGGCCGCTAAGGGGTTGAAATTAGGGATAGAAGGTTTCATAAAAAGTTGTTAAAATCTGTTCTAGGAGTATGAAATTTTGCACAGAGGTCACAGAGGGTTTATGTATGGACACTAAGAAGCGATTTTCGGAATTGAGTTGAATTCGAAATTCAACCTTTAAGGGTATGAAACTACCGAAACTAGGGGTGGAAGTTTGTAGATTTTTTTAAATTTGTCGTATGAGTATAAAATTTTGCGCAGAGATTCTTAAGTGACGAAAGTGGATACTCGATTTTTATAAATTTATCCCCTACGAGGGTAAAGTTAGGGGTGAAAGTTTGTACAAAAATTTGTTAAAATCGTTTCTAAAAGTATGACATTTTGTACAGAGGTTTCTTGGGTGACATAATTGAGCACTGAGGAACGATTTCTGGAAGTTCACATATAAATCAGGGGGTAAAACTAGTGGTGAAATTTTGTATATATTTTTTTAAAATTAGTCCTAGGGGTATGATATTTGGTATAGAGGTTTCTTAAGTGGCGAAAGTGAGTACTTAGAAGCGATTTTTTGGAAACTCACCTCCTAAGAGGGTGAATTAAGGGGTGAAAGTTGACTCAAAAATTTGTAAAAATAAGTAATCATAGTAATCAAAGTAACGAATATTTGTAATGATTACTTAGTACTCGAGTAACGAGTAGTCAAAAGTAACGAAAATCAACATCACTATTCAGCATGTTAACATATTCTATTCCTCAATTTTTGATCGTTATTTTTTATATACTTTTTATTGTACACTATCTTTTTAACAATTTATTTTTATGAATTTGACTTAACGTAATTATATTTTATTCTACAAGTATTCACATTTTAGTTATTTGCACTTAAATAAAAGTGTTTCACATTTTTAGTATCAGTTATAATGAATTTTCATATAATTTTTCACTCCCGGCCACCTGTTATCCGCGGATTATTAACGGGATTATTTTTAAAAAATAAATTGTACCTTTAGTCTACTTTTCTACGACACTTTACGGGATACATTGCCAAAAATGGCTTTTTCAAATTTCAATTATAAATACATCATTTAAAGAAACAATTTTTACAATATTTTACACTTCTAAAGCAGATATAGATTTTTTTAGAAACTGTGTTACTATCCAAGGGGATGAATTTTCAAAAATTCACTGAGGAACCTTGTTCAAAATTCCATACTTCTTGATGCAGATTTTAATATTTTGTACAAAATATCACGTCTAATTTTACCCCCTTAGGGGATGAATTTCAACAACACAAAAAAATAACTCTATATTTGCCTCTACAAATTGCCGTTCTCCTTGCAGCCTCCGCTTCGTTTGATAGGCGCCACACTGTTTTTGATTTGTTTCAGGCTATTTTATTAAAGGTGTAATTCCTGGAGGCAGATGGTGGGAATTTTTATACTGTAGTCTATTAAATATATTAAATTTAATAATATGTCTAATAGGAGCCGCAATGTTTGCTAAAACTACAGTTTTTGTACTAAGTATTGTTTGTATGGCTTTACTTATTGCATTTTTCAGTTTTTTATATCAAGGAGAAATTCAGGTTATTTTTTGAGTAGAATTTTAATGTAGCCAATTTTAAAAACCACTTTATAGGTGCCGATACCAGACTCAAATACGTTAATACAAAATGCTACGTATCACGTCAATGAGACGTACACTGGATTGCTTTTAGATACTTTGAAGAGCAATCTATTTCCCGATTATGGTAAAGATTACACTGCTAGGGGAGAAGCGGTCACATTTTCCACAGTGTTTGGTGTACTTTTTTCTGGTGTAACAGGAATTATGGCTGGAGCAAATTTGAGCGGTAATTATAATATATTACGAATATTTCGTTTCTTAAAATAGATGGGCTATGCATTTTTGATTTTCGTGTGGCATTAGTTAGTTTGGAAAGACCTTATTCAAATAATCTTAACTATTATTGATAATGATTTAAAAGCTAGTTCACATAAAAACTTAAACTATTTTATGACCATTCGACCTTTTTTTTAATGAAATGTTATGATATCCCGTTTTATATTATAGCAAAAGACAAATAGACATCATTTTTCGTTATTAGTCAATCTGTGACCGTTATAAATTATATAATTTAAAATATATAATTTAAACTTAAATCATCACATTCTTATTGATTAGTTTTTTTTTATGGAAACAGTTCATAGGAATTAAAAATGTTGAACCAAACGGGCAAATTAATAAAAGCTAATACAAAAAATGTGTGGGAACAAAAAAGTTGAGCTCATAAATTATGGCAATATTTTTTATAACTTATTACAGGGTGACTTATCATTCCGAAAGGGCTTGCTGAGGTAAATAGATACAGTATATCTCCGGATTGTCTTTACAAGAGGAAAAACTTTTTTATTATTGACATATTTTGAGAAAAATGCATTCTTCATAAAAAAAATTGCTTGTTCTAAAATGGTTAATCCCGTTTATACTTTTCCAAATTTCCATAGCGTTTTTGAGAAAATTATAAGAACATGAAAATATGGTTTAATTTTTTCCTTTAAGTCCTAAAACTCAAAACGCGTTTCTATGGTAATATAATTACGTTTTCATTCTTTGATAGATTATTGATAGAGTTTTTATTAACGTCATATTCTCCGCTGTTTTAAAATGCATAGATAAATGAAACAAGTTTAGATTGGAAAGTGCCCATAAGGACAATGTAAACACTATTTGGCGCTATTCTTGCAACGGTCGCGACCCAAAACTTTTGAAAATTTCGGAGCGGTTCGGCTTTTTCCGGAATTATATCGCCAAGTATTGTTTATTCAAATTTATTATTATTTTCGTTTAATTTTATAAATAAAAGACAGTGTGTTGCATACAAGAAACTTTATTTTATATAAGGACGTATGTATGAAATACCTATGAAGCATTGGAAACCGACGTTATGCCACGATCCACGATGGTTTTTGCAGTTCACATTTCACAGCACAGCTTTTAAGTTTTTAATGCCACTTTTCACAATTATCACCGGTTCGAGTAAATAAAACTTGAATTAAACTCACAAGATAGCAATTATTACTTTGAAAATGGACGCTATAAACACTTTTCGGAATTTCTTTAATGAGAGCGGTTTAGATTTTGAAAGATTATTATGATTTTTGAAGATTCTGACTTTGACAAGAGAAAATTATTTCTGTTTTTGTTTGCCGTTGTTCTTAGCGACCGCTATAGCAGCGCCAGATCGCGTATAACGGTCGCGACCCAAAATAATTTCGCGACCTAAAATTTTTACGGGCTTTCCAGTCTAAACTTGTTGCATTTATCTATGTTAAAATGTTAAAAAAGCACAAAATTTATTTAGTCAATGCTACGGAAAGGGTGATAATACTTGTCGGAAAATGTTATACTTTAGCAACAGCAAAAAATATGACTTAAATCAAAATTAATAATAAGCATGTATCAAAGAATGAAATCGAAATTATATTACAATAGAAATACCTTTTGAGTTTTAGGACTTCAAAAGTTGGGACTTCAAGAAAAAAATCAACCATATTTTCATGTTTTTTATAAATTTCTCTAAAACGGTATTGAAATTTGCAAAAGTATAAACGGGATTAACTATTTTAAAACAAGCAAAGAATTTTATGCAGAATGCATTTTTCTCAAAAAGTTAATAATAAAAAAGTTTTTCCTCTTGTAAAGACAATCCGAGGACATACTGTACAACGTTAGTTTGAAAATACATCTTAAAAAATATATCCTGTATATTGATAAAAATATGTTTAAAATAAGAGCAGCTATTCGCATATTTTATAAAAAAGATACAGTGAAAATGTCAAACCGGAACCTGATATAATGGTTTCTTCGGAACGCTAAGTCATGCTGCATGTGCCAATTTTCTTATCTTTAACCCGGTTTTATATATGCCAAGTTAGATTTCAAAATGCAGATATTTATATTTTCTTCTTTTTAATTGTTCAGTTAGGTTAGGTTAGGTTAGGAAGATAATGATATGGATATGAGGGGATCGATATTTGAAATAAGTAGGGGAAGTGGGGGATACTTGATCACTGTTTTATATTTCCATGTAAAAATGCAATAATTTTTTTTTAAATAATTGAACAAAGGCTAACATCTCTCTCTACCAACAGTTATCTAAATATTTTTGCGAATGTAAAACCATCTGAATGTTCTTAAGCAAAAAAAATGTGTTTTTTTAATCTGTTGCATATATATCAAGTATCCCCACGATGTGGGATACTTGATCACAGGATAAGGGATACTTGATCACTTATTAAACAACTAATAAAAACTACTTAAAATGCAAAAATCAATAAATTAAGTACAACTTAGTGAGAATATAACTACTTAGAAAGAAAAACAGGAAAATCATTATAGTTAACTTTATTTATTTATTCAAAATTGTATATATAACTTTCAAAAAATTAAGCCTTCTCAAATATATCTAAAGGTTTCTGAAATGTGTAATCGACTCGTTCTCCTTTTAAAATAATATTTGGATCCGGAGTTATTCCCATAATATCCTCAAACTTCACATCGCTAGTATCTGATTTGACCATTGAAAATATTTTTTTGCTTTCGTCTGTGCATTTTAATGACCATTACCATCGTCATGATCAACATAATTTACCACGCATAAATATTTGTACATAGATAATAGCCTTCTTCCTCCTTTAAAAACTACAATTACAAATTTTCCGACCTTTAAATTGTCAACACTGACGGGCGTTAATTCTTGATGTCTTGATAGTTCTTGTGTCTTCTTGGTTTTGCGCCTTCTTTTCGCTTATAGGTAAATCCTCGGCATCTAAAAGAGAAAATCAAATTGAGCAGACTCCTGCAAATAAGACTCTTGCCTGCGAATTTTAAAAACCAACAATAGGGGATACATCATCAGTATGATCAAATATCCCATGTTGTGATCATGTATCCCCACATCAATAGTGATCAAGTATCCCAATAAGAACGTATTTCAAATAAACATAAATTTTAACTTACTGTTTAAATGTAGAACAACCTCCATATGGCCACGTCACTGTTTGGTGCCATGGTAACAATTTGCTCTCGGGTGTTATTTGTCCTTGAATTCTTTAGTCATTGATTGCATTCATTCAGCCAATAGCCTAATTAAAATGCTTACAAAATGTATTATATATGCGTGTTATAAAATTTTATGAAATTTAATTTATTAATTTGTTTTTATATTGGCAGGTGAACTAAAAAATCCCGAAAAATCGATTCCAAGGGGAACGTTATCTGCAGTGGCTTTTACATTCATTATTTATTTGGCAATGTCATTCTTGGTTGCTTTGACAAGTTCCTCGTCATTGCTAAAAAATAATTACTTATTTCTAGCCGGAGTAAGGTGAGTAACTAATAGAGAATAACAAACATTAATTTAAATGCTTATACCTTTGTGGCGGATTCATGTCTTGAACAATTTTCTGGGTTTTTCGCAACTAGAATTTTTTTTCCACTACTTTATCAGGTAGTAATTATTAGTTTGAAGTTTGACTTCATATAGTGTAATTTTAGTAGAACGTCAACGATTTATAATAGACGTATCTGCTAAAAAAACAAAAATGTTTTATTTTCCAAACGTCGCAAAAGTATTAATTTTTGCGACGTGATTGACAATATAAAAAAGTCATTTTAACGCCTAGGCATAAAAGTAAAACACTTTTACACCTAAGCACAAAAGTACGAAAATATATTATTAAATTGACATAAAGTGTCAAATTCAACGAGCCTAACCATAGTTTCTCGATATATAAAATTACATAGAAGGTACTGTCATTTTATATGGGAAATGTCATCGATCGTCATTTCCCAGCCAACTGGACGCCTTTTTTTCGATCATGCGGTATAGATGATCTAGGGATCGTATATACTTACGCGGATGCATACACGCCATACGATTAGCATTAAAAACGATCTCCATCATCACGACATTTTCAAACCTTCCTTATTGCACGTATGAAACGTTTAATAGCTTTATCTTTTCCGAGGACCTTCCTTTGCGCCACGTGCATTAAACGTTGCACGTATTTCCAAAATAATCACAACTCCCTACGGTTTAGAAAGTACAAATTATACATTGTTATGGAAACCAACTTTTCATTGTCATCATATTTTCATAATCTTATTTCCATTGTGTAGCGACGCTTGCTTTTTGTGTTTTTTTATTTTAAAAATTATTATTACTCTTTTATCTTTCCGAGGACCTTCCTTTGCGCCACGTGCATTAAACGTTGCACGTATTTCCAAAATAATCACAACTCCCTACGGTTTAGAAAGTACAAATTATACATTGTTATGGAAACCAACTTTTCATTGTCATCATATTTTCATAATCTTATTTCCATTGTGTAGCGACGCTTGCTTTTTGTGTTTTTTTATTTTAAAAATTGTATTAATTACTCTTTTATCGATCGCTTTTATACAGGGTGCCTCAGAAATAAGTGCAAGTATTTTAACTGGTAGTATATTTTTTAGCCTAGAAACACTACTACGAGGTTTTTTGCGGAAAAAAAATGTTTCTTGGCATTTTCCAGGAAATTTTAAAAAACTTTTTAGTGCCACTTGTTTATTCACCTGAGATTTCTCTACGGTGTATCTAAACCTTGCAGTATTGCAACCTCCTATGTTATCCACATTCTATATAGTTCTATATTTATAAGACAGGAAATTTCTACACAAAAAATTAGGAATGTTAAATTTAATCTTTTATCTGTGCTCATTACTAATAATTATAGAAAAAAAAAGAAAGTAAATACATCTGTATATTTTTTATGTAGTTAGATATTAATGAAAGTAACACCCTTGATTAAGGGTAACACCAAAACATCTAAAAGACTGAGCGCTCTTTTCGCATTAGATGCAAGCAGTTGTTCACTTACAACCATTTAATTTTAATTATATTTTTAAATGTTCTATGATTTAGAAATATCTGTAATTACCTGTGGTAAAAATATTATACTTAGATGATAATTAGAACTTAGTTACAAGAATTTAATACGCAAGAAAAATAAACTAAAAATTATCCTAAAGCTTCTAGATAAGATGGATAATATATTTAAGATGGATTTAGCAAATGGATAAAAAAATAGAATAATTTAATCTATAATAAGTTTTGGAGCCTCAGGATGCTGTTCTATTTTACTTGACACGAGAAGTCTTGGTGATCTCTTACTATATCCGAGAAAATTAGTATCTAGAAGGTGCATGACATTCTTTATAAAAGTTGTTGACGCATGATAGACACATTGACACGTCTTTTTAGTTTATATTAACAATAATTATTCAAAATTAATGCGATTTCTAATAATATTAAATTTAATGTCATATAAGCACAAAACGAATAAAAACTTAGGCTTAACAGGGAAAAGCTAGTTAAAATTACACAATAAAAAGTATTTTTAAATTTGAGTACTTTGTATATCGAAAATTAAATTGAATAAGAGAAAATATATTACAGTTTCCTTTCTAAAACTAATTAAAAATAACCAACAACAATATTTTACAGCACCTAAGAAACACCCAGTAATATACTGTCATACGTAATTTATTTTGGAAAACTAAACCATGGTTTTCGGTAGAGTTAGGCAACCTAAAGGGTATTTGTGGGCTAATGTTGGTCATGAAACTTCGTAGTTATGAAGAAAAAAGGCTAATAATTGTAACATACATCATATTTTTTTGGAGCAATTTGGAGCATTTTGTATTAGCTTACATAAAATGTGATTTTAGATTAAGCAGTTCTTAATTACATCAAGGTCTTTATTGATTTTTTTATGGTACCAGGGAAGTTAAAACAAGAATTACCATGAGGAAAAACAGTTGAAAACATTGTACTTTCTCAGAGTACCATCAGTTTTTAACTAATTTATCACCAACGTTAAACGCACTAATTTTATTTAAACAAAATTTAATCAAAATATTTTAGCTTCAGCTAATAATTTTATAAGCTCGAACATTTCTTATCAGGGATTAATAATGGGCCCATTTTCATTCAAAAATCTTGACGATTCTGAAAATATGGTCTATTAGGAACTATACGAGTGAAATTATAATTAAAAAAAAAATACTTTTGATATTTTGATTTTCTGCCGCTCTTGGGAATTTCTGCATCACTGTGCGGCGGCGCGTCGCCTCTAAAAACCAGTTGACACGCAGCACTTTTGGCGGATGGTTGGGCTGTCGATGGCATTGTTGAAATACATCGAAAAGATAGCGGAAACACACAAAATAGGTATTTAAAATTGTTAAGTGAAACATATATTTTGTTAGATTAAAAGTAGTTCGTAAAGTGGCGATAAGATAGATTAATTCTCAACATTTATTCATTCAGAAAGGTATTCAAAGTAATGTGCGCTTTTCAAGATGTTTTGTAAATCAGTGGTTCAAATTGTGATGAAACCTATACGAAAATAATGTATTAGAAATGGGGACTGTTATTTTAGCAGTTATTATAATAGCATATAAAGTAAAGCAGCACAGTGAAGTGTATTTTAGGTAAGTGTGTATCGAAAAAGAGTCCAAAAAAGTATCCAAACTGTCACAGTTACATCGATCTGTCATAAGTATCTTTTTGTAATGTTGGGTAAGTTTTTTCTTTTAATTTATTTTGTGTAAAAATATTACATTCTTACAAATGTAATTCATCTCTGTAACCTATGCCAAACTCCTCAGATGGTGTTATTTTATGACTTATTTTTAAGCATATATTTTCTTGTCCATATGGCAACACAGGGCGTCGAATTACCTGAGATCCGGGTAATTGGATGTAGTTGGCGATATCTGCCGGCGATTCTCAAAATGTTGCTATTATTTTTTTAAATTTTCAAAGTTAAATAACTCGGTTATTTTCAATTTATTTTATAAATGGCAAAGAGGGAATAATAGGTTTCTTTTAACCTGATCTACCACCCTTTAAAATACTTGCACTTATTTCTGGGACACCTTTTATAGCCAAGGAAGCAATTGTGTTCAATGAGAAGTTAATTTTAAGTTTATACAATTATATTTCTATTTTTTTTTTCGTTAGACTTTTTAAATACTCGTAAAAATGACTAGAAAGTGTTTGGTGTGTGGAAGTTCTAATATAAAGGTCCCCAAATTATATTTTCATAGGCAAGTAAAGTGTATTCAGTTGTTCTTTTATTCAGTTGCTGGCGATTCCCTAATTTATCTCTCTCTCTCTCTCTCGCTCCCTCTCATTTAATTCATTTTCTGCTCTATTTTTAGTGATATTGTGATTGATGTTAGACAGTTAAAGCATGGCACACCTCCGAGCTCGATACATTTGCGTTTTGTACGTACGTAAAGACACGCTAAAATACGTATCACGTATCCATAAACGCAAGTGAATTTCTCACTGCGCGAGCGTACATGTCAAACTTTAAGTAATTTATAAACCATACCATTTCTCCAGACTGTGTCGTAAGCGTGTACGTAAATGTATCGTTTGACATGTACGCTCGCGCAGTGAGAAATTCACTTGCGTTTACGGATACGTGATACGTATTTTTGCGTGCCTTTACGTACGTACAAAACGCAAATGTATCGAGCTCGGAAGAGTTTCAATTTGACCCGATTTATGCCGTACGTACAAATTCAAATCGACAAACACTGTTTTAATACTTGGCTACTTAAAACCTCCATAACTTTTGTCGATTTAAGAGCCGCTTTTTATTTTAATTCCATTAATTGTGATTAATAAAATTGCGTTTATCTCATCAAGGAGGTCGGCAAAATATCAACAGATAACTTTTAATTGGCATTAGACGGCCTACACAATTTTGATATCAAAAGAAAAAAGTCAGTGGCGCACATGCTTTTTTTTTGAAAAATTATCCAGTGATAACCCATATGCACGTCCCTGATGAATGCATCGACACTTTTTTAGCATTAAAATGTATAGCACTTATTGTAACTGTTCCCTCAAAATTTCATTCGAAACGCTAAAAGTACTTAGAAGAAATTAGTAATAAATCGAAAAAATATTAAGACTTTAACACCTTGTAGTTACGAAACAAAGCAGAATCGGACCTATGTTGATATGAAAAATAAATCTTATTTTTACATGAGGATTCTCCCAACGAGAGATGGCACATGTTTTTTGAAAGACCCTGTATATATTGTGATATCTACAATCATTATCACGTGTATGCAATTCTCCACTTGGTACTAAAATGTGTTAATTAAATATTCAACGTTTATGGACACTTCAATACAATTTACATTTTTTTTTAGTGTTCTTCCAGCTAGCGTGGCTATTGGTCTGTTTACTGCCACTTGGTCTGCTGCACTTAGCAATGTTATTGGTGGATCAAGAGTGTTAGAAGCTTTAGCAAAGGACAGAATTTTTGGTAATATAAAAGTAATATTTCACACATTTCATTTAAAATATTTGTAATTTTTAGGCTCGCTATTAGATTTTATTCCAAAGGGAACATGGAAAAACAATCCAGTAACAGCAGTTCTGTTATCTTCGCTTTTAGTACAATTAGTTTTATTAATCGGCTCACTGAACGTAATTGCTCAGCTAAATTCTGTTTTATTTTTATTGAGCTATTTGGCCACTAATCTCGCATGTCTAGGATTGGAATTAGCTGGGGCACCGAATTTTAGGTAATTTTTTCATTAAGTCAAAAATATCATTTTGTAATCTATTTTGTAGGCCAACATATGCTTACTTCTCATGGTACACAGCTTTAATAGGACTTCTTGGAACTCTTACTATGATGTTTGTTGTAAATCCAATTTATGCAGCATGCAGTATCCTCTTATGTTTGTTATTAGTGATATTTTTACATTTATTATTTCCATCTAAAGAGGCAGATTGGGGCAGTATATCTCAAGCATTAATATTTCATCAAGTAAAGTCAGTTGTCACATTATGATGATTAAACTAATGTTAATTTTTTATACTAAGGTTAGAAAATATTTGCTACTATTGGACTCTCGCAAAGATCACGTAAAATTTTGGCGACCACAAATACTACTATTAGTGAACAATCCTCGAACTGCGTGTCCTTTAATAGATTTCATTAATGATCTGAAGAAAGGAGGTCTGTATGTATTGGGACACGTTGTTAAAGGAGAAAATGTAGACGAATCTGATCCTGCCTGTGACATGAATTTGCCTTGGCTAAATTTAATTGACCATCTTAAAATAAAAGCCTTTGTCGAGATTACTGTTTCGAAAACAATAAGAGAGGGTCTTCAACATTTAATAAGATTAAGTGGAATGGGAGCCATGAAACCAAATACTGTAATATTTGGGTTTTTAGATCAAGATAATAGTATAGACTTCCTTGGAAGGTACGTAATAGTTTAGCTAGCTTTAATAAGAAACGTAACATATAATTGCTTTTTGTAGTGAAGGTTCAACTTATCAAAACCAAGAGCTCAACGAAGATATTTTTCCGTTAATAGAGACTAATAAACTTGATATTGTGGAATATGTACAGATGATGAGAGACGTACTAAAACTAAATAAGAATTTGTGTCTTTGTAGGAATTTTGCTAAACTAAAAAAAGATCCTAAAATGTAAACCAATATGGCTCTTTTATTAGATGTGGTAAATAATATTTTCTAAATTTTTAGTGTTAAGTCCAAATTATATATTGATGTATGGTCAATAAATCTTCTTAACCCAGGAGAACTTGATGCTTTTGACATCACCTCTCTCTTTATGATGCAGTTGGCTTGTATTGTCAATATGGTGCCACTTTGGAGTAAGCTGAAGTTGCGAATATTTACATGCAATAAGACTAGTTCAAGCCATTTTGCCCCAAATTCAACAACTCAGAGCTATGTTGAAAAGTTAGAGACGATGTTAAAAAAGTTAAGAATTGTAGCAGACATTGTGACCAGCAATGAATTAGAAAATTTAATTGAAACTGGTGGATCCAATATGGGCACTTATGTAGACAGGTGAATTTAACATTTTCTATTAGTATATTACAAAATATGTTTTTAATTCTTTCCATTTAAAACGTATATTATTTAGCTATTAGGGTCGAATTAAGAACGAACATGGAATAAATAACAATTAAATGGCATTAAAATGAAACTAAAATATACAGTTTGATATTTTGATGTAACCAATTTACCTCATTTTGTTTCCTAGCCCACTACTATAATTTTAGTCCTTATATTCCTAGGCGGCAAGCTAATATGATTTATTTTATTAGTATTTCCCGTTAGAGATTAGATAGAAAGTTGTGGTTTGCACTAATATTTTGGAAATTTTGTGCTCTATTTAACTCTGCAAAAAGAACCATAGCCTGTTATTTAATTTTTTATGCAAAAGCGCAATATTTGTTATGATGTCAAACATCGCCCTCTAGCTACCATGAAAAAATGTATAGAAACAAAATTTATACTGCAGATCGTTAGGGAAAAAATATCTTTTAAACACGCCCTAGTTTGTTTAAATCGGCGAACCCAAACCAGAGTTATCCTGATTTTAATAAACGCAAGTTTAACCTCCCCCCACCACTTTATTTTATGAGAAAGAGCAAAATACGCTATAAAAAAATACAATTTCTCGATGATTACAATAATAGTAATATTAAAAATACTTGTTCACCTGTAAATTTTTGAGAAAAATCCTATTTTCTGATTGGTTATCAGAGATGCACCCCCTAGCGGACATTTTTCGAACTTGAAAATAATTTCCAGCGATTTCTCTTGGGCGATTTACTTATCACAATTTTTTCCCAAAGTTATACGATAAGTAGTTTCTGAGGTACAGCCGGCCTCTCCATTGTTAGTTGGCCACCCGGCCCTCTTAAATCAGAAGAAACATAAATGTTCATGAAAAGTATTACCTTCGTTCCAACTTCATTTATATCGAATTTAGAGCATTTTTTGACACTCTGGGAACATATTAGCTGGTACTGTTCCGTATTAAAGCCATATGCTGGCGATTTTAAGATCTATAAAAAAGGTCAGGAACTGAATTGCAATTTTAACAAGTCTAAAGTGGTTAAAATTTAATTTCTTTCAATAATGTATTACACTTTTTTCAGGGTTAACAGTTTAATTTTACAACAAACAGAAGATACTGCACTAACTTTTATATACTTACCGTCACCGCAATCACAAGAAGCCTATTCGACATATTTCAATAATTTAGAGGTTTTATCACGAAACTTACCACCAACTATATTTGTACATGGAGTCAATACCGTAACATCGACTACTTTATAGTCGACATTAATTATTTCTAACATATAACCCTTATTAGTATTTAAATTGTGATTATTTTTATATATCTGTATATTAGTTAATATATTCTAAAAAATAACAATTGTTTTAATGAAATAAATAAAATGATTTAATGAACTTAACTCAAAAAATCATTTATAATACAAATACAAACCTACAAAAACATTTTGATTTTTTTCTCTGTAACAAGATATACCAGAACTTATAGCTAAAGACTTCACTTGCACGCTACCTAAAGGACAACATACGTCAAAACTAGTCTAATATAGACTTGTCACAATTTTCATTTTGGCAAACTATACAGGGTTGTTCACCACATACGACACGGAGTATTGTAGCTAAATGATTAGATTTTGACAAATTGTTAAGTTTTGGTTTCGTTGAAAGACTATTAGAGCTATAATTTAAAAATATTTTTACAAGATACAGTGTCCCAAATAAATAAAAAAATATCAAAGTTGTATTTTTTTAAATGGAACACCCTATATATTATTACATTTTTAGTTTCTACGATTAAAATAAAGGTAAATTTGACCCGTGATTGATTTTAAAAATCACAATCTTACCGTTTTTGAAATATTTTCAATTTTGTGAAATTACAGTCAAAATTTGAAAGCTTCATTTCTCCAAGGGTATCAAAGTTTTTAATACTAAATATTTACTGAAGTCTATTTAGTGATCAGTTATTGTGTTGCAATAATAAAAATAATACTACCTCATACAGAGTGTCTTAAAATTTATTTTAAATTATTTCTAGCTTTTAAAGGCAATAACTTGTTTAATTTAAATGGATCGCCTTGTATATTTTAGGAGAATCAGATGCACAATTTAATTGTCATCAAATTGTAATATACCACTTTTTACCTTTCCCTTCAAGTTTTCGTAGAAAATGCATTTTCTTATAATTTAGACCTCCTTTATCAATATACCGATGGAATAAAATGTCAATATTCCATTGATTGTTTTTAAAGCAACAAATGTACAAAATGTACAGGCTAGTAATATTATCGTTTTTAGCAAAATGATAATATTACTAGCCCATTTGTATGCAAAAAGAAAACTATTTAAATCTTTATAAAAAATTATACCATTAACTAACATAATTATGTTCGTTAATAAATTATTCTAAATAAATGTGGATTTGAATCAGAAATCAATATAATAATAAGTTATGAAAATGAATGTCTCTGTTATAAATAAGCATTTGTCAAAAATTGAAATATCATTTTTAAGGTGTTACTTTTTACCACACTGTCTAATACACATACAAAATTCAGTTTTTTAGTATTTGGAGCATTTATTATTAATCAACGCAAACAGTCAATTAATGTAACAAATATTTAAACAGTTTTTTTTTAATTTCTTAATGAAATAAACAAACTATATCCACAATATTAGTATCTGTACTCTTTAAAAATTTGGTACATATTTAAAAATAATCTAAAATGTCAGTATTCCATGGTATATATTGATAAATGAGTTTTAAATTACAAGAAAATGCATTTTCCGAGGGGTGTCTCACTGTTGGAATTACATGTACATTTTCTTGGCAGTCGCTGGCATTCTTACCTATAATTATATCGCAGTCATAGGCAGTCGCTCGGCAGTCGCTTGGCAGTCGCGGCAGTCTTTGGCAGTCGCTAGCAGTCGTCGGCAGTCACTGGCAGTCGTCGGTAGTCACTGGCAGTCATCGGCAGTCACTGACAGTCTTGTATAAAATGATATTTTGGCAATACGTGTACATTTTTGCCCTAGTGAGACATCCCTCGGCATTTTCTATGGAAACTTGAAGAGATAGGTAAAAAATGGTATAATACAATTTGATGGACAATTAAATTGTGCATCTGATTCTCATAAAATATACAGGGTGTTCCATTTAAATTAAACAAGTTATTGCCGTTTAAAGCTAGTAATTATTTAAAATAAAATTTTAGACACTCTGTGTAAGGTAGTATAATTTTTATTATTGCAACACAATAACTGATCAATAAATAAACTTCAGTAAATATTTAGTATTAAAAACTTTGATGCCCTTGAAGAAATGAAGCTTCAAATTTTGACTGTAATTTCACAAAATTGAAAATATTTCAAAAACGGTTAGGTTAAAGTGCGGTAAACCTTAATCAAATTTACCTTTATTTTAATGATAGAAACTAAAAATGTAATAATATACAGGGTGTTCCATTTAAAAAAATACAACTTTGATATTTTTTACTTATTTGGGACACTCTGTATCTTGTAAAAATATTTTTAAATTGTAGTTCTAATAGTCCTTCAACGAACCCAAAACTTACAATTTGTAAAAATCTAATCGTTTAGCTGCAATACTCCGTGTCGTATATAGTGAACAACCCTGTATATTTATAAATATAACAATTTTGATTCTTAACCTGTTCTTTATAAATTTTAATATTGGGCTTTATTTAGAAGACTTATTTTTATATTTAGATTAATTATTATATTTATACCGGGTGCGTCTTAAAAGTGGCTCACCCCTATAACTTTTTTAATTTCTCAGATGAAAAGACGATATTTGGTATGTTAGTATATGACATAAATTAGGACTGATTGACGTATTCAATTGTTTTTGTCACTTCCTGTTTCACCGGAAATGACTACAACTTTTGATTTTTAAATAGCACCCTCGGTATTTTTCTACTTAATTCGATAGAAAATGACACCCTCAATAAAATGACATATCATTTGTCAACTTTTGACATTTTTGCTTTAAAAAAAATTGTATTTTGAATTTCAATCTAGAGTCCCATGGCTGTGTTAAAAACACTAATTTTTACTCAAGGAGCCTTGGAAAAATACATTTGATCATCTAATGTTTTTCGTGTCTTGTCCTGGTCGGTTAAAATATGCTCAAATCGTATTTTTAATAAAATCTCAATTTTTTCAAATGGAATGAGGGTTGCTCATTCGCATAATTGGAAAAAGATTTTTTTACGTATAATTTGGTACCACAAACTTGATATTTCGAGTCAAATTGTCGTTATGAACCGCATGTTACAATTTCAAATAAACCATATGAGAAAATGTCAAAAGTTAACAAATGGTATGTCATTCTACTCATAGTGTCATTTTCTATCGAATAAAGTAAAAAAATTGGCGCCGGGAGGCACGTATAGCCGCCCATACTAAAATATGTTAATAAAAAGTTGGTAGGCAAGTTCTTTTAGTTTCAAAGTAAAGGAATTTTTCCAATTTTGGTCCGCGGTTACTTCCCCTATCCGCCACCTGGGGTCGCGTCCGATGGGAGTTTGGAGTTCTCCACACGGATTTTCTCAAAAACGGACTACGGAAACACGGAATGTCTCAAAAACCGCGACTTTGATTTTGATGTTATTACAAATTTTGTTGCAAATATTATTCCTAATCTTAAATTGAAAACCGCGTTTCGCTAGCTACAATATAATTTTGGAGTTAATTATTATACTATAATTAAAATATTTTTTCATGGTGTCTGTCCGTCTGTAACACGATAACTCAAAAACCGCTAAACCGATTTTAACCAAATTTTGCACAAAAATACTGTGGCATCCGAGAATCTGGCCATTAGTTTTTGGTGGGGGTGGGGGGTTGGTAAGGGGGTATGGGAGGGGGTTAGAAATTTAAAAAAATCGTAACTCCAAAATTACAGTAGCTAGCGAAACGAGGTTTTCAATTTAAGATTAGGAATAATATTTGCAACAAAATTTGTAATAACATCAAAATCAGTCAAAGTCGCAGTTTTTGAAAATGTTTGAAAAAGTGTAGTTTGAAATGTTAGAATAGTAATAAAGAAATATTTTTTTACCTGTAACAAATAGTTTTTTAAACGTAAAAAATATTTTTTTTTGCGTAAAAAATGTTCTTTTACATTTTCTTTTATTAAGTTAATTATTTCTTTTATTAAGTTAAATGTTCTTTTACATGTTCTTTTATTAAGTATACTATATGTATACAGATAAAAATTTTATCCCTAATTCGTGGTACAAAAATTGTTTTTTATGACGATGTGTAAACGAGTAAAATTTCCTGTGCGCAAAAATAAACTCGCGTAAAGTAACAATAAGCAGCGTAATAGAGAGATATCGCTAAACCGAATAGCGTGCATGGACGTTAATAAGGCCAGGTGTTATTTCCTTAACGTGAGGTGGTATTAACTCTCTTCATTTATAGTTATCGGATCGGTAAGAATTCTGTTCGCGTCGCGTCCGCTATTTAAACTTAACCTAACTTTGAATTTAAAACTTTGAAATTGTTTTGTTTACTAGGTATTTTAAAACTAAAGGGCTAAAGTGCTTATTTCCAATGATTTATTGTTCAACGTCTGCCAGTGGATTTAGGGCCACAAGCAACAAATTCTCTTAGAAGAGCTAAGTCGTCATCTGCTGTAAACCTAAACCTCTTTATAGGTTCTTTAATATTGGAAGAGGTGGAATCCATCTTTTGAGCCATATTTATTTAATTAAAACTAATCCCAGCTACTTAAATATCAAATTACCTAATAAAACTAAAGTAATAATTCAAAACAATTCAAACATAACCTAAAAGATCTCGCCGGCCGGCCCCGGTTGTCAAATACCCGCACATGCCCATTTAAGCAATTTTTAAACGTTATTAAGCAGCGCTTGGTGTAATTGATCCGCAAATTACGTCAGACGGTAACGTTATTAGCGGGCGTTGCGTTAAAAATTGACTCGTGCATATCGTAAGAAATTGCTTTATTGTCATAAAAAAATTTTACAATTTTGTTGACAAAGCTTAAAAAAAAGAATATAAAATACATACAAAACTTCACTTAACAATAGAAAAACATATAAAACTAACAGCAAACATACAAAACTAAAACAATAGTTTAAACGTAACCATGATAAGGTACGCGTAAATACTGCATGACGCTATTCGTTTTTCCAATATCTCTCTAATAACTGTGCTGGTCAGGCGCTGTGCACAATTTTAAAGGCAATAAGTGGGCGTGCTATGTGCGCAAACTAGTAACCTAACTAGTGCCCGATTCCGAAAATTGGAACCACGAAAAACAATAAAGAAAAAACAAAGTTTATAATCTGTGCTCTTACTCTATATTATACCGTATTGTCAAGGTGTTGGCACTAAAACGGTATTGCTGGTTGCCTACATTGTCAGTAATTACAGAAGGTTCGAGAAACAGTCAGTAGGGGTATATAAAGGCCCGCGCTTGGTGGTTGGACAGTTTTTGAATTTGATAATACCGCGTTTAAAAATTGTGAATCGGACAATTTGGCGAAAGAATTTTATAAGTAGTTAATTGTGTGTAAATTGAGAGAAAAATAAATTCGTTAAGTATTTTATCGTGAGTTTAAATTAGTGGACCCACGGAATCCGTAACAATATAAACAATACAAATAACCTTTTGAACGTAGAAGCTAGGGGGCGCTGTCTTGCAATTTAACAAACATTACGCGTTTTTTCAACAAAAATAAATGCGATAGTATATGTAATTTTAGCTGATACTAAAGAGTAATAAAAACTGAAAAAGCCAACGAAAACTGCATCTTGATATCTTTTTTCAAACCAAAGTTATTAGCAAAATTATAATAAATAGAAAAAATAAGCCTTTATTTGCCTTATTTTTTAACACGATATCACTAGCCCTCTTGATTATGACCATTCTAATAAAAAAATAAGATAAAAAAGATTATTTTATTCAAAAATTCGACAATGTAGGAATACCATAATACCAGGTGTATTAATATCTAATAATTAAGATCAATGACATTGAACGAAAAAAGAAACGACGCCTCAGCGAATTCATGGTAGGCTTTGGAAATAAGTTACTTTTAAATGAATAATTTAAACATCAAAATATTATTATATCAACATTTTGATAGTCTCAGCATTTTTTTTATCTTTTGATTGCTTTTCTAAAAAAAGCCTTTCTTCAAAAGGGAAAAAAACGTCTGCTAAGACTATCAAAATGTTGATCTAATAACAATTTGACGTTTATACTATTACGTCAAAAGCAACTTTTTTCCAAAGCGTACCATGACTTCACTGAGGCATCGTTTCTTGTTCACTGTTATTAACATTTTAATTATTAGATAATATCTAATAATATTAATATTATTAATATATCTGGTATTATGATATTCAAAAAAATTCTTCAAAAAAAAATTAATGTTTTCTATTAGTTGTCAAATTTTCATATGTTGTCATTTTTTCATTTATCTGTTGGTTGTCAATCTGTATATTTTTGTTGCAATGAGCATGGGTGATTAAACCTGTATTTATTTTAATTTTTTGACTGTAAGAACATTATTTGTATTATTACCAATAAATATCTATCTATCTATCTATTCTGGTATATTGTCGATTTTAAAATAATCTAATCGTTTCTATTTTATTTTTTATTAGAATGGGCATAATCAAGAAGCTACCGATACCGTGTTATAAAAATATGGTAATTAAGTAAATAATTTATTATAATTTTGCTAATATCTTCCATTTGAAAGAACATATCAAGGTGCGGTTTTCACTGACTTTTTAAACTTTTATTACTCTTTACTATCAGCTAAAATTACATATACCATCGTATTTTTTTTAACGCACGTTTGTTAAATTGTAAAACAGCACCCCCTATCATCTACGTTCAAAAACTTATTATTATTTTTATGATATAATATAAGGAAAGCTCTTTTAAACGAGCCCTCGTTTGTTGAATTCTGATCATCCAGTCCGGAGTTATTAACATTTAAATAAAAACATATCTTAGCTTCCCCCATCACTTTATTTTGGCAGATAGGGGAAAATAGTTCTAACAAAAAATATTCAAAATTTACTGAAGATTATGAAGCTATTATTTAGAGTACCTGTTATGTAGGCAAAATTGTGTAAAAACTTCTTTTTCTTATTTTTTATAGCAGTTGCGCCCTCTAGCGGCCATTCTACAGACTGGAAAATAATTTCCTGCAATTTCTCATAGCCCCTTTAGTTATAAATATTTTATCCGCATACCCTACGGGTTACCCTTTCCGAGATACAGCCGAGAGCTATTCTTAGTCGGACACACTGTACAATTAACTTCCTAACCTCAGACTCTTGTCAGTATTCTGTTTTAGAAAATGTTTTTTAATAATGGTGAGACAATGCGTGTCTTTCAGCATTGAAAATATATTTATTTTCAATACTGAACCATTGTCTACCACATTCAAAGAAATGTGTGTTTTTGTACAGGCTCTTTATTTTTTCGATTTAATTGTTGCCGAAGGATACTACAATAGTGAGTAAATTACATACTTAAAAATATACCTATATGATTATATATATATATTTTTTAAATTAATACTGTCAATAAATGCTCCTTGCAAGCAGATATTTTAGTTTTTTAGGATACACCTAAGGCATTTTGGACACGCATTGCGCTATGTTAGAGTGATCAGCAGATGATTAAAATTGATTTAATTTGCTTTTATTATTTTAGGTATCAAACGGAAACAAACTGGGAATTTTACCTACACCAAAATTATACAGCTGTTTCAAATTAACTTCAAAGATTAAATTATTTAACTGTAACGACTTAATACATACTACTATTACTAGACTCTTTTTCTCTCGCAATTAAAATTAATCGCAAAAATTAATCTTCGAATATAAGAACTGTATGCATTTTATTAAGTTGTAATTTATCGTTTATAATATGTTCGGCCTAACCTTATTATGCCCCCCTTCCCTACACCACGATGTTGTCATAGTACTTTTTTCCTCCAACCACTAGGTGGCGCCCTTGTATAATAAAATTATAATATATTGTAAGTTGCCCATTTATTTTATGGTGGGTTCATACAGCCAAATAAAATAAAATAAGAATAAAATAAAATAAGAAATAAGGAATTCTTATTTGTGTGCGTTCATACAGTCAAATAAAATAAAATAAGAAATATATATTTGCTCATGCGCAGTACGATGAGGCTGGATAAAAGTTAACTTTTACGATTGTTTATAGTAATTTTACTATTTATAGTATATTTATTTATTCGTTGCCTACTATATTATACATTTTACTTATGTGAAATTATAAAATAAATTAAATTCAAACTGAAAATATTTGTAGGTTAGAATTAAGCGTGCGCAAAGCCGTTTTCACATAAAATAAAACAAGAAGTTAAAAGATAAAGACTTCTTATTTTATTTGTTATTTTATTTGGCTGTATGAACGCATGTACGGTATCCCATATAACCAACTTTCTTATTTTATTTTATTTTATTCTTATTTTATTTTATTTGGCTGTACGAACCCACCATTATATTAGGTTTGTTCCAACCCGCCGCAGAACCGTCACCGAACGATCACGCTCGTGCGCAGTAATTCAAATGTGTTCCAACCGAGATTTGACGGTTATCGGATGATCCTATTTGCGTACCAACCTACCTTGGTATCGTTTAGTTACGATTTCAGAACGGTAATTTCGGTATACGGTCCAAATTGAGAACTGTTTGGGTTGACTTGCGCATTAAAGCATATTGGCAGAGATTATCGATTTTAACAGCTGATTCTGGTCTGGCGTCCGGCTGATGCTTCTGTCTTGGTTAGTTTTTACGAATTCGAATACGTGTGCTTCGTTATACTTTTGCTTGTGAGTTTGTGTGGAGTAAATCGTTCGGAAATTTTAAATTCTACACTTTCATAATTATCTATAGATAATAATTAAGGAAGAGTGACGATGGTATGACTGATTTCTTTACCTCCACTTCAGATAGTAACAATTTGGAATTGCTGCCTAGTGAAAGGGTGAAAAATGAACAATATTTAGATAAGCTTTAATCGTATTTTCTTGTTTCCTCGAACAAAAACAAAAAACCGATCTTAACATGCACGCTTGGCACTTCCGACAGTCCCGAAAACAATCCACAAAGCGTTCCAACGTTGATACTTTTTGGATCGTCACGAAACTATTCGAAGTCCGCGCATGCTAACAAAGTGCAAGAAAACCGATTCGAGTACGATTTCGAAACGATCCCGAAATGCTGGTTGTAACAAACCTATTATAAGTCTTTTATTTATGATTAAGCCTATGGGAGGTCATGTAGATTGTGTGCTGTATATAAAGTATCAATACGTGTATACACGATCGATGAAACTTCTAAAGTCTTTGGAAGCAAACTGAGTGCTCTTTCTATTTCTTCCTCTTCAATGCACACCTAAAATGGATGTAATATTTTATACTGACATATCCTAGAACAATAAAATACGAACCCTTTTCAAAAGCTGCCCTCGATTTGGTAATGTATACATAGCCATTTTAGCTCCATTCTTAATCATAAAAGAATGATGCTTTGCAAGAGTAAGATCATATGCTTCTCTGCAAGCAACATATGTAGTATCATGGTCTTGTAACTCCCCAATCTTCTTTAAAAATAGCTGAATAAAATCTACAGAAAATATAATATTATCTTTGTTAAATAATAATGCTTGGCAATACTACACACCTAATCCTCTATGAATTCTTAATAAAGTTCTACTGCCAGAAACAAAACCAGTTTTATAAAGAAGTCCACTTTCTTTTTCGTGTTCAATCATTGCTTTCACTGTTTTATATGTATGTGTAGTATCGTTATCTTTTAAAAGATTATTGAGGTGATCCATTTTTTGTTGTAAATCTTTATTAACAAAACTAAATATAGTACCTAGTAAACTTAAAAACCTGAAATGAATAACACTGTTAAACTATTTTACATCTACAGGATACTTCAAATTCGGCCCACACCATTCGGTTCTCGAAAATTATAGGAGATACGAGTGTGGTTAAATTGGGCAAAGTTGAGCATTAATGGTTAATTTAAAATTCCGGAAATATTTGAAAAAACCGAAAATAAAGATTTCGATTTTATGTTTTTCTGACGTTATTTGACAAGTTATCCTAAAACTAAAAGCACATTTTCATTGTCACTTTTCTAGCTACACAACAGCGTTTCAGATTTGTCATCCGACGTATGGTCTTTTCGCCACCATCATTAACTTTATTATTTCTTATAGGCGCCACATTAGATTTTTACACATCTAAATATACCGGGTGGTATATTTAGATGTGTAAAAAAGGTAACTATATTTGGTATGTTAGTGTATGACATAAATTGGGATTGATTGAGGTATTCAATTGTTATTGGTCACTTCCGGTTTCACCGGAAATGACTACAACTTTTGATTTTTAAATGGCACCCTCGGTATTTTTTTTTACTCTATTCGATAGAAAATGACACTCTGAATCGAATGACATATCATATGTCAACTTTTGATATTTTGGCATATGGTTTATTTGAAATTGTAACTTGCGATTCATAACGACAATTTGACTCAAAATACCAAGTGTGTGGTATCAAATTATTCGTAATTTTTTTTTTCCAAATATGCTAATGAGCCACCCTCGTTCCATTTGAAAAAATTGAGATATGATTAAAAATACGATTTGGGCATCTTTTAACCGGCCAGGACAAGACACTAAAAACATTAGACGATCAAATCTATTTTTCCAAGGGTCCTTGATTAAAAATTAGTGTTTTTAACACAGCCATGGCACTCTAGATTGAAATTTATAATAGAATTTGTTTTTGAGTGACTATGTCAAAAATTGACATATGGTATGTCATTCGATCAGAGTGTCATGTTCTATCGAATAAGTAAAAAATACCGAGGGTGCCATTTAAAAATCAAAAGTTGTAGTAATTTCCGGTTAAACTGGAAGTGACCGAAAACAATTGAATACGTCAATCAATCCCAATTTATGTCATATACTAACATACCAAATCTCGTTGTTTTATCTGAAAAAATAAAAAGTTATACCGGTGGGCCACTTTTGAGACGCACCCGGTATACGTACTATTTTCAAAAATCGTTTTTCAATAGGCGCCTTTGGTTGTTTGACAGAAAAACGACAAGTTAAAACTTTACCTATTATAACAAGGCAAAATACTATTTGAAAAGTTGGAGATACATTTAGTAAAGTTAGTAACCGGCAAATGATTTTGAATATGGAGTGACGTACCCTAACCACCTATACATTATTTCCAAATGGTCTTGTTGTGGCACAACCCTTAATGAGTTGCAAATTTTTTCCTGTAAATTATTATGAAAAACAGCGGATTTTTGAACTTAGCCCTTTTTCTACGGATCGTACGGAGATAATGTACCTATACATCATTGACAAAACATCTTGTTGTGGTACAACCCTTAATAAATGAGCTGCAAATTTTTTCCAGTATTTTTTTTTTGAAAGAGCGAATTTTTTAACTTGGCCCTTTTCCTACGGACCGGCAAATGATTTTGAGTATGACGTAGTGTACCTATGTATATCTATATAAATATAAAAGTCTAGTTATTGAAAACCCCTTAACAAATGAGCTCCGATTTTTTTTCTGCCAATGTTTATGCAAAAAGCGGCTTTTCGAACTTAGCCCTTTTCCTACAAACCGGCAAATGGTTTTGAATATGGGGTGGTGTACACCAGTCGCCTATACAGGTGCATAATTTCCAATCGGTCCCATTCTGGCACAGCCCTTAGTAAATTAGTGGCGATTTTTTCTGTCAATTTTTAGAATAATGAGCGAATTTTTGATTTTGCCCTTTACGGGCTCAGCACGGACCGGCAAATGATTTTGAATATGGGATGGTGTACCGCAACCACCTATACATCATTTTCAATTGGTCTGGTAATAAATGAGCTGCGATTTTTTTCTGTAATTGTTTAGAAAAATCAGCGGGTTGGCCGTAACCCTTTTTCAAATGATTTAGATATCATACGGTAGTATAGACCAACTTATACATCATTTTCAATGGGTCTCTGTGTGGCAAGCCCTTAATAAATGAGTGGCAAATTTTTGCTAAAATAGATAGGGGATACTTATTTTTAGTTCGCATCACACAACCCAGTATTTTTACAACAATATTTAACTCTTCATAAAAAAACTATTTTTTCATAATTTTATTTAATTTCATAATAAAATACAAATTCTTAGCAAATATCTTTGTAAAACCTTGAACTAAATTTATGACTACTAGATAATTGGTATATTTATGTTAAATTTAAAAAAAAACAACTTTTTCAAATAAAGTTTTTCGAAATTTGACCAGGAAACCCGTTTCTTAGCCATTTATTACTTTAAATGTCAAACTTGACAGATACCTCGGGAAACAGAGTAAATTTTCTTATGTCACTTTTAATCCAAATTAAATCAAAAACTATCGCCCAAGTCAAATTTCACCTAAGTCGATAAATAAAAAAAGTCTCATATGTATAACGTCAGAAAAAAAAATAAAATTATACTAAATTTTCCTTTTTTCTCTCTTTCCAATATCTGCGGAACTACTCGGAATTTCAAATGTTTCCAAACGGGCTATTGTTTCGCACATTTAAGATGAGTTTATATGCATCCGTAATGCGTCGTCCGTCGTTCCGTCACTCCAATCATATTTAAGTATGATCTGTCATTTTTCAAATAAACCAATAAAATTGTATAAAATCAACGACGGACGACGCATTACGGATGCATGTAAACCCAGGCTAAGCTCTGTGCGTATACACGCGTAACGTCTCCCTTCTAGCAACCGGACTGTGTATTCACATATTCATACATGAAGAGTTTCAGTTTGCTTCAGTAGTGATATTTTCCCACTTTTCTCGTAAAAATCATGTATGTACAATTGCATTACCAATAGATATAAAAGAAACAAGACAAAATTCAGTAAGAAGATTTACAATATATCTAATGTAAAAAGAATTAATATAATTTTCCACTCTGAACGGAAACGGGAAACGTTATATGGATGATGCTATACGGTGAGTGTGAATTATTTCTTATTAAAACCACTAAATAAAATTTTTCCATGTATGATAATGTGCAGAGACCTTAACTTTTTCCTAATTTAACTATCCGAGTATCTCCTGTAGTTTTCGAGATCCCAATAGTGGGGATCGAATTTCCCAATTGCCTTCTATATTTAAAAATACATAGACAGTTCAATGAAAGATGCTATCATCGAAAAATAGGTAATTATAATGGAAAAATTGGAAATCTTCCTATTTCATAAAAATGTGTATACTATACTTTTTTTAGGTAGTAGATCACGAACCTGAACTTTTTGGGTTACCACCTTGTGGAGTTCTTTGCGTTGTTTTAGCAGCTCCAGTTTTGGTACCCATCTGAGCCTCATTTCCCAAAACCGGCGAATTATAGTTTAACAGAACTCACTGTTCACCTCTCTTGTTCTAACTTGTTCACATCTCTTCTCTCTAGCTAAAGATCGCCTGGTCACCTTGTGAGGTATGTTGTCAAACGCACCTGAAATGCCCAAGAAAGTACAAATTACTGTTTCTTTTCTATCCAGGCTTGCTTTTATTAGCTTGGTTAATTGGTAGAACAGTTTCTGTAGATCTGCCCGGTCTATATGCATAGTGACTATGGTGCAGTGGTTTGTGGTTTATCCTTTAGATGATTTTCTCTAATATGGTTGTTTCTCTCTAATAATATCTAGTATGAATAATAATTGGTAACACCACTTACTCCATCGTTTTTAGTATGAATGATGTGAGACTAATAGGTCTAAATGATTTTAGGATGATCTAGCCAGTTTTGCCTATTTTAGGTTTGAAGATTACTTTTGCTCTTCTCCAGATGGTCGCTATATATCCCAACGCTAAGCTGCTTCTTGTGATATTTAGTAGACGGTGAGAAGGATTTCCTGACACTTCTTTAGAAGGGCATGAAAAATCCCATCTACTCCTGCTGCTTTATAAAACTGGAATCTGTCAATAGCCCATTTCAGTTTTTGTTCTGTAATTACGAGCTTGGCACTTCCCAGTCTTCCCTGCAAGGTTTGCGGGGTTCGGCCAGAACTACATGCATATCATAAGATATGCTACCTGGAAAGTGTGTATGAAGTAGGAGGTTAGCTGAAGTAAGTAGTATGAAGTAGGCTCTCTCTTCATCTCCTTCCGTCTAGCTTGCGTCACTCTTGGCCATGGCTATGTGTAGTCTAGTTAATTACTCTCAATTAATTTCTCTGTATAGAGCTGACATTCGCCACTGGATTTAGCCCTGTTACTTTTTTGTACTTTTTTTAGGTAGTAGATCACGAACCTGAACTTTTTAGGTTGGAGTTCTTTGCGTTGTTTTAGCAGTTCTTTGCGTTGTTTTAGCACTCTTGGCCATCGCTATGTGTAGTCTAGTTAATTACTCTCAATTAATTTCTCTGTATAGAGCTGACATTCGCCACTGGATTTAGCCCTGTTAAAGAACCGTTGGACCTCTGATCTAAAATAGGCCAGCTTCTTGTTCTACCAGGGCTTGTTACTGTTTTGTACGCATTTACTTCTGGGCCAACTAGATTTATAGACATCCAAGATTGCACCCCACTGACTTCTCTTGCGTACCATTCTAGAGACTAGCCTCTACTGGTTTCAACCTTGGGGCACCACATGGTAATCCATTGTATTCTTGTCTGCCTTACTTCTACATGCTGGGCTCTGTACCGACTAACCCTTGCAATGTAATTGACCTCAAATCCAAGGAGGCAATAGAGAAAGAGGGATATATCCTCTATTATAGATTCTGGACAACACTGGTATCAGGTCTAAGGAGAGACCAATTAAAGAGGTGGAGAAAATGGAGACAGATCCTCCAGCCTCCTAGTCCAAGAACTGGGAGTAAAATGAACTGCCTAATA